ACCGTAAAACCACGGGATAAAGTGCAGATGGAGACGTTCAACTGCACGGGATGCTCACATTCTGGGCTGCAGAAGGGGAGAGTGATTACTTCATTCGGTATCAGCATAACGAGTCGCACAAGCATTATGTTTGTATTGATCTTCCCCCCGGCCGTTCTCCAGACAATTAAGGATCGAGCTGACATGCGTGGACCTCAGGTGAGTGCACCCTTCCCGCTGCCATGACATGTTGTCTCACTGTTCTTTTTGAAGATCTGGAAGGAGATCCTCAAGACCTATCCTGAACCATTGTTCTCGTATCACCAGGTGTATAATCACCTGCTGAAGCTGAATTCCGGGTCCTGGAGACTCGACGAGGACGAAGAAAAATCAGCCAGGTTTCTCATTGAAAAGCTATGTGCAGAGAGGCCAGATTCGGCTGTTCTTGAGCACATCGAATTGCCCGACGATCCGGACGATGGCTACACCGCCTTCGCATTCGGACTGCCGTCGCTGATCAAGAAGTGGGGTGGCTGTGTATTGGAATTGCAGCTGGATTCAACCTGTAAGTTTATTTATAAGCACTACACATAGTGTGATACTACTATTTGTTTCGCAGTCAAAACAAACAAGGTCGGTATGAATGCTTTGCCATTCTCGGAGAAGTTTTCGGATCTGGCCTTCCGCTAGCGTTCCTTTTGATCAAGTCAAACGGGAGTCCAAAACCGGGATCCAAGGAACGCTATCTCCAAGCACTTATTCGGCACATCTCTGAGACCTGGGAAGTGAAGCCCATACAGACACTCAGCGACAAAGACATCACTGAAATCAATGCATTCTTAGCTGTCTTCCCCAAAGATCTTTGGGGAAGACAGCTAAGAATGCATGATTTCAGTGATGTCTTTGTCGCTGAGTGTCTGTATGGGCTTCACTTCCCAGGTCTCAGAGATGTGCCGAATAAGTGCTTGGAGATAGCGTTCCTTGGATCCCGGTTTTGGACTCCCGTTTGACTTGATCAAAAGGAACGCTAGCGGAAGGCCAGATCCGAAAACTTCTCCGAGAATGGCAAAGCATTCATACCCGACCTTGTTTGTTTTGACTGCGAAACAAATAGTAGTATCACACTATGTGTAGTGCTTATAAATAAACTTACAGGTTGAATCCAGCTGCAATTCCAATACACAGCCACCCCACTTCTTGATCAGCGACGGCAGTCCGAATGCGAAGGCGGTGTAGCCATCGTCCGGATCGTCGGGCAATTCGATGTGCTCAAGAACAGCCGAATCTGGCCTCTCTGCACATAGCTTTTCAATGAGAAACCTGGCTGATTTTTCTTCGTCCTCGTCGAGTCTCCAGGACCCGGAATTCAGCTTCAGCAGGTGATTATACACCTGGTGATACGAGAACAATGGTTCAGGATAGGTCTTGAGGATCTCCTTCCAGATCTTCAAAAGAACAGTGAGACAACATGTCATGGCAGCGGGAAGGGTGCACTCACCTGAGGTCCACGCATGTCAGCTCGATCCTTAATTGTCTGGAGAACGGCCGGGGAAGATCAATACAAACATAATGCTTGTGCGACTCGTTATGCTGATACCGAATGAAGTAATCACTCTCCCCTTCTGCAGCCCAGAATGTGAGCATCCCGTGGCAGTTGAACGTCTCCATCTGCACTTTATCCCGTGGTTTTACGGTCAG